AAATTAAACGAAATAAACATTTGAAATATATGAGTTTGTATGTAATGTATGAATATAATATAAAAGTTTCACTTTTTAAATGGAATTACTGAAATAAATCTACTTTTTCATGATATTCTAATTTTGTGACCAGCACCTGTATCTTCATAATTCATGCACATAGAATGCAATCCGTGTGCATAATGGAGATATTTTCTATTAATTTTTTGAAAGAAACAAGTGTACAAAGCTGCAGAAATGTTGTAGTATCATCTTAACTCTTAAAATAAAGTATTGATTCCAGTCTAGTTTTTTTCTTCTGTACGTTTCTTGGCACGTATGTCATTCCGCAATTTTTGGGCTATTTTAACAATTCATATATCAAAACGTTTAGCCCTTTCAGGACATTCCGGCTAAGACTTTTGGTATTTCAGCTTTTAGCTATTTTACCTTTCCGGCCACATTTTGCCATTGAAAATGTTTTCAAATTTCTTAAAATCCTTCATCATGTTTCTAATCTTTACAGCACCTTACAACGTTTGCTCTGATTCTGCTCTTTTTAACTTCATTGTTCTAATTTTAGCTACTTATTTGCAAATTTTTGTTTTTTTCTTCTATTTTTATACTGCTTCTTTCTGCTGATATGAGCTATTTCTGTTTCTAACAGTTGCTTTTTGCTATATTCAGCTGTTTCCTGCAATTTTAGTTAATGTTCTGCTGTAATTAGCTAAAGATAGTTTTTTTAAGCTAAATTCACATTTTGGTATTTCAGCTTCTTTCTGGTTAGTTCAGCAAACTTGTGCTACTTATGTTAATTTAGGAATTCCCAGCTACATTTTAGCTGCTTTACTGCACATTTAGGATGTTTTAAGATATTTTATAACAAATTGTCACTTTTTGCACTTTTATGCTTTTTTTCTGCTTTATACGCCTTCTGTTTGGGTGCTAATTTCAGTTTGTGTCTGCGACCTTAAGCTTGTTTTTAAGCTAGTTTTAGCTTTTTCTGCATTTTCAGCTACATTTCGGCTCCTTTCAGCTATTTTTTGTGCTAAGTGAAACTTTTTTACATTTCTTTCAACTTTTCAAATTGAACTGTTTTGCCATTAAACATTTTCAGCTCCATTTCCAGCAAAAGTTTTCAGCAATAAGCATTCACATGAGCATTTTTACAGGAAATGCAATTTCTGTAGTTAGCATTCATTTCTTAACTCATAAAATCATTAAATAAGTTTTCATCTGTAAAGCTGCAATAAACGTAAAAAATCAGTTCTGATAAAGGAAACAATTTCTGCAGAAATCAATGCTTAAAGAAGATGAAATGTTATTTTCAAGGCTTCATAGTTGACTAATAATTATAGCTAAATGTGTTGTTTTATTACACAAAATATCCAGCATTAGAGACTCAGGCTGTCACAGACTGGAGGGACATTTTTATTACTTTTAAAATGTGATTTTCCTGTTCTGGTCAACATAAAAACAGGAACAATTCTGACAGCAGGACAGAGGCTTGGAGAGACCCAAAGAAATGTAAAAAAATATATATATTCAGTTTCTGCTGTCGCTCTCTCACTGTCCCCAGAAGAACTAGGTCACCTCCCCTGAGATATCAGGCAGGGACCCTGGCTTGTCCACTCTCCAATATGTGTGCATGCATATTAATTATGGCTCCTGGGAATTAGCCTCAACCCACATCAGGTCATGATTACATGTATACATATTGGAGTTATTTGGAGTTCCATTTGTTCTGTTTTTTTAAGGATTAAACTCCACCTGAGGTCAGTCCAAGGAGCTCAGACAGAATAAAAACGTGCCTGAGCTCGTCGTGCAAATTACTGTTTAAAGTGAAAATTGCCACGTGCCTTTTGTGACTTTTAATAAACTGCAACCTCGGGCTCGTGTTGGCGACTCCTTGCCGTCGCGGTTAGAACACCTCTTTGTTCATCCACATGCTGTTAATTAGTGAAACAATAATTAAAATCCTTCCCTTGAAACCTCATGTGTCTGTCAGCTCAGAACAAAATCCTCTGCCCACCTCTGTATTTTAAATCCAGTTATAGTTAATGTTTTTTCAAATGATGAGCATGTGTTGTCCTGCACAAGTCAGTTGCTTTTTGTACATATATTCATCATTTTTGTGAAGTTATTTTAAATATATTTGGACAAAAATTACATTGCATTACTAAAGCACAGTGAAAGCAGTTTAATTGAAACGATACAATACTTTTCAAGGAGGCACAAAGCTGCATGTGAGTT